TCCTCATAAGACTTGTGTTCCAGATCCTTCAAAGAAACAAAGTTTACCTGGTTTGCATATCTGAGTTCCACCTCCCTTCAGTAACTTGTGAATCATTGTGCCCGTTTCAGCTACCAGTAATGCAGTGTTGGCGGTATGAAGGATGTAAATTCCTGCAAGCATCACAAAAGTCCACAGCCAGGTGGGGACTGGCAGGAGCTCAGGTGTCATTTGCACACCAAAACTATCAACGAGACAAAGCTCTTAGAAGAGCTTCAGCCACAGGGATGTTCAGTGCTTGTCTCTCTTATTAGCTATCCAACCAAATCCAAGGCAAATCCAAGGCAAAACCAAACTGACCACCATACTACATATTTTTTGCTATTGCTAAAGTGTGGTTGTTTTCCCCAGAAAGCCCTTTGAAGCCTTAGAGCTGGCAGTCTTCCCTGGCATGTAAATCTAATGAAACACCTTGCAAATTCTATAGGACATAATACTTTATTTTCTCCAGTTGGTTGTTCCAGAGCAGGAATTGAAATTAAATGCACACATTTCAAAATTTCACATTAGGCAATCCTAATCGCTATGTATTTACACAAAACATAATGAGTTCCACATCCCCAAGGGTTACATACTCTACAAATTTAGTTGCAGTAATTATTTATATTAAGAAGGTAACTTCACAGTCAGAAGGACTAGAAGTAACTTAGGTTCTGTTCAAAACTTTCTAACTGCTAGAAAACAGATTCATGGCCCTAAAATAAAAAAAAAAATTAAAAGTACAAATATGTAAATAAAAATCCTTATAGTTTCAGATATTAGTTTAAATGACATTACACTGAAATCTGTAACTTCTCCCAAAACTTCAGCAGTGCTTCTCCCAGCACAAGCAATAGTGATTGCATTTTAAAGTACTGTACTTTTTCCAAATTATGGCTTAAATAAGAAATTCAACATGAAATTACAAGTTTATTACAAGACATCTTACCTGGACATATTTAGGGTAAGCAATAGAAAAGAACTGCTATTTTTTTTCTTACTACTTTATATGGTATTATGCAAGAACAATTTTCCTAGATTATCATAATTAAGCAATAGAGATTGTACTTTTGCTTCAGCAATAAATATTTTCACATTTCCATTTGCACCAATAAGTAGCTCAAGAAATATTTACATTCTTTGCACTATGCCATGTAAAAGCCATAATGAAAGTAAAACAAATTGCTGGGATCACTTTTTAGAGCCATAAAAGCTGACAATATTATTAAACAAAAAGTACAATTTTCTAGTAGCACTCATAGAAATCTGGACCAGAATTACAAAGTGTCACTCTGGGTTTTGGGTGCCCAATCTGCACAATTGTAAAGAGACATGAACTGTTGGTTTCACATTTTACAAATGCACATTTATTAAACAGATATCTCAGCTCTACATATCCAAAAATGGTTATTACAAAACAATGGTAACTGCCAATAACCCTGACTCTACGCTGTGCATTACCTGTACTTAACACTCTAATGTAGAAAAAAACAAATCTTTCTGTTATATTTTATTTATTTCATTGATAAACAAAATTTCTCATCCCTTTTGCTTATAACTATTTTTGGCTTTTATTTTTTACTTAAGTAGATGATGGTTTCCTGTGCTGTTTTAATCACCTGTTCTAAGATGTGATTTGTTTTTTGTTGGGATCATTAACATAATGTAAAGACTGCAGCACAGGTATACCCCTTACCAAATTAATACTTTCCACCTGATATTCTAAGGCGTAATTATGATTTTTCTCCTGAAAATATACTTGCTCGCTTAACAACAGTTAAACATCTTTCAAAAAGGCAATTGAGTTACTTGTGCTTTCTTATATTTTCCCTTTTTCCTTTTTTTTCTTCACTGATCACCTTAGATCAGTAGAAAGTGTTACTTCTTTTTGCACAAATGGTCAAGCAAAATATGCAGATTTCCAAGAGAAGCAGCTAATAACAAAATTGGGCATTATTCTTTATTTACAGAAAATCCACCCCTTTTCCATAACAAAATTAATGCCAAAATAGCAGAGAGACTTTTTCTTGACATAGAGATTCAGGTCTTTTGAGGCAACCTCTTGCCTTTTTTTTTTTTTTTTAATTCCTCAAGATCACACTGTAGAGCTTTCTCTCTGTGCTCCTGTTGCGCTTAGCTGTCTCACTGTTTCACACAAAGCCTTGTCTCTGCATTTTTACAAAATCCTTGAAGAAAAACATGCAACTGAATGGTCTGGCTTATTTTCCAGATTTCTGTGTGGGTAGTAGTTTTCTGTTATTTACCAAAACAGCATTTCATTTTTCTTAGTTTTCAAAAGGTTGTTCTGTGCATCTTCATACTCCCTCCTCCTCCCCCAATATCAGTTTTATCCTTTGCCTTCACGGAAGTGAAAATACCAATTTCCCCAATTGTGTGATGAGAAAGAAAGCAATGATTTCCATGTGATACAAATTAAATATGGATATAATTGCATGGGTTTTTTCACATCAGGGCATTTTTACCTGAGCCTAAATTGGTTTTGTGGCTATCCAAGCCTGCCTCACTGCTTCCCGCCCAATTTCCCTTCAACCACCCAGGACAGACATCTTTCACTGAGCCTCCAAGGAATGTCTGTTGGTGCTGTGAATTCTGCTGATTGAGACAGGTCTTACTCATTTTGTTCTAACGGAAAATTCATCTCTGTCACAGGTGTATCCTGCCATCAGTCTGCGCTGAGAACTCGCATCGACATCAATGGGAGCTTTGCATGTATTGTGCAGGTAGGGTATCATCATCATTATTTATTAAACACTAATGGAGTCCCAGACCCAGATCATTAAAAGTTACAGCTGAGATGCAGTCAGTATAAGACTGGTGATTCTTTAGGAGTAGTGGTATTTTCTTTTATTCTCTATTTCTTTGCTGTGTTTCCACTATATTTAACATGGGAAGTGAGTGGTTTTTTGCTTTAACATTAGCCTTATGTGTGACAGTGAACTACTGAAACTGTAGGGGCAACCAACTATAAAAACTGTATTACAATGAGTCTTCTAGAAGAAAACCTGCATTAAAGGCAGATTCAAGTTTGTCCTGTGTTGATAGCTGTACATGTTTGATAGTGATCAAAATGCATAACTTTTCTTGTATATCTCATGTTTACCTCTCCTAGGATTATGCCAACTTCTGAACAACTCACAAAAGTCTTCCAAGTCAACCAGGCTAAATGAGAGATCCAACATTTATTTTATTATTCTTATAGAAGTTACCAACCTCACCATCTCATCCAAATAATTTTTTTTCTTTTTATTTCCTTCCATTTAAAAACCAAATCAGTCCGTGAAGCTCCTGATTTGTTCTCAGTTTTCTGAGCTTAACTTTAGCTGCCTTGGTAATCACAAGACTTGACTAACGTGAAGATGGCAGCACGTGGAATTATTTCAGTGACTGTTTAGCCCAGAAATTAGTCTCCTGAAACACCAAGCGGTTTCATTCTTAGCACATTGCATTTGATCCAGCCAGACCTCCTTTTTCTTTTCCTGTTATTAATGAGGAAAACCAGACCTGAAGCCTTATTTTGTGCTATTGATCACGTTTTGCCCCACAAATCACTCCTCCTGCACAATCCTTCAGATGCCTCCTGTGAGGAATTCAGCAAGTACAGAGTGAATTTCTAATCAGCTGCGACTGTTCAGCACTAGGGCTGGCAATTATGCTCCCAGTGCCTGTATCTGCAAGTGTTATACATTTGTATTTGCTTCTTGCTGAGATCACACAGTTGGGAAAGCAATCATGCTCCATTACTCCTGGTTTTGACTCCTGGCCCATATGGCTGCTTGCGGACAGTCTTTCAGCGCTTTGCTTCATTTATAGCTAACATGGTTAATGACTTTGCTTTCTGCAAGCCCTGATCTGCTGAAATTTGCACCTGCTCTTTGTTAGTGGGGAAAGCTTTCCCTCTCTCACATTGCAGATTTCTGCTCTACCTAATGATAACTCTTTTTTGGAATGTGAGGAAAGGAAAGATGAAGCAAGTGGTTGCCCTTTTACTACCAGCAATTTTATCCAGGAATGGCTTATATGAGAGGTTTCAGTCTGGCTTCAGGGAGTACCACAGTCCTGGGATTGCTTTACTTAAGGTCACAAATGATTTATCACCAGCTCCTGATTCAAGTTAAATTACAGTACTCCTGCTGATGGATCTTTCTGCTGCCTTTGATACAGTAGATCTTGGAACTTTGTGGAACCATTTGAAGCAATTGTTTAGATCATGAAGCAGCATCCCTGATCGGTATCGTTCAGAATGGATGGTGCATTATTAGGTTGTAACCTGGCAATTGTGGATCAAATTCTGCCTCACTGGTCACATTGCTCCTCAGAATATAAAAATATCCTATAATCTCTCTTTGTTATTCGCTACAGATTTGAACAGAATTCTCTAGCAGCACAATACTAATTTTCACTGTAACACAACATATAGATGTATTTGTCTTTTACAGTTTAGCTTCTTGCTGGAGTTTGGACTGCATTGGTTTGTTTTACCAAAGCATGATCTTGGATAGTCACAAATGGTTTGAAACCACACTGAGATAAAATATAATTGCTTTTGGCAAACCCTCACTGTCTCCTAGGTGGTTACTTTCTAGGCAATTGAAACTATCTATACATATCTAAAGTATGCATGTGGAGCTGGTCAGAACATTTTCATTAAATGAAATCTTATTAAAATATGCTGCTTTTTGGAGCCAAAATATTTTGCAGAAAATGTGTCTGTCTAGATGAAGCTTTAATCATAGAGGTATTCAAGATTCAAGGCTATTGGTCACTTCTGAAGGCAAAAACAGGGAAAGTATACAGTCCAGTTTAAAAAAAACCAAGATTTTTCATCTCAAAGCAATTATTTCTGAAAAACTTCCAGGAGGTTCTGGTTGTGTTCCCATGTGAACTGAAAACAATGTTGACACCACAAAAGCTACCATGAAACAACAACCATCCTTTGAAATGGATGCTCACAAAAGCTGTACCTGCACCATCTTTTCAGCTGCATGGTCCATCTGCACAGAGCACCACGTGTAGTTTATGTTGAGTTCAGAAGCTGAAGGACTGGAAGAGCATACAGCTCTGTCGTGGTAATTGGCAGTTCACCACTGGTCTTTCACTGCCTGGGAAACTGTGACCAACAGAAACATCTGTTTTGTGATGAGAGATTACAGGAAAAAAAAACACTTTCCATCCCTGAAAAAATAATTCCTAGTCAGAGAAAAGATAAAAATTCAAAATCTAATATTTTTCAGAAACTAAGATGGAGGAAAACTATGTGGTCAATCAACATGCACCAGTATGTAAATATTTTGAATATGTTTTTGATATTTCAGGAGGTTTTAACTGCTCAATTGAAGTTTTAAAATTTGTTGATATAAACTCTTAAATGAGAGAAATACACATATAAAAATGATTAATCTCTCAATATCTCTACCAAGCTTTATAATTTGCTGTCCTTTAGCATTTACTCTTATAGGGTTTTCTGTTTCCTAATCCTAAGGGTAAGCCCAGCTGAATTCTGTCAAAGAGAAGACACTTGTTTCCAGGAGAGGGGTCTAGCCATAGGTCATTTACCCAAGCTCTGGACAAATGGGACTCTTCAGAGACATTTCTGTTTCTGCTGTTCTTCATGGAGCCCAGCTTGGTGATCCAAGGGCACTTCACCCTCCCCAAATCCTGCAGTCGCAAACATGGACCCTGTAAATCCATGTGCTGGGGCTGTGCAGCTCTGCAGTGCTTTGGGAGCTGCAGCTCCATGTCTGGAAACCCAGCACCATCTGTTTCAATAGAGCTCTGAGACCTTCAGGTCAAGTGCTCACCTTCAAGCAAAGGAGGAGGACGTTGGTTTCCAAGTGTTTTAAGTAGATTTATCTCCTTTAGAAATGGCAGGGAGTGCTTTTAGCAAGGCCACTTGAAGATTAAACAGTGAACAACAGAACTGTGCAGCAGACAAGGGTGGACGCACTCGCAGTTTGAATGGCAGAGCTGATTGCTTCTTCCCCAGGCCAGTGCATTGTCTTCAGACAGGGACATACAAGATGTCCCTTTTACTTCCACACTGGGTCAGTTCCCTGAGGTGTTATCCTTGTGGGATGGAAGGATACGTTGAGAGAAGGGCAGGAAAACCTATTAATCCCCATCCTGCTCCTTCACTGGGCTGAGTAGAAAGTGTGTAGGTGATTTGCTTTGTTCTAAACAGTTTGGTAACAAAAATAACCATATATCAGATTAAATCATGTAAATAATTGCCATTTGGTGTGTGCCACACAGCAACAGGCTCTCGGACAAACAGCTCTCAATTATTTCGTAACGCAAAAGTTGCACAGGCATGTTCCAGCGCCCTCTGTCTTCACTGTTTGTTGCCTTGTTCTGGTTTTACACTCTATTTTTCTATTTTTGTTAATGCATTTGCCTAAAACTACTGCAGAGAGAGCAATATTCTCAGTTCTAATGCTTCATCATTACAAAGTTTCCTATGGAATATATAGACAGGATTTTTCAGAAGCATTTAACATTACAGTATCTTTGGCATCATAATTTGAAAAATTAATAATCTTAGCTATGTACTCATTGGCATGAATTGATCAAATCTGCTTTTTGCCTTTTGTCTTGCATTTTGATACTCCAGTTAGGTTCTCTACTGATAATGGCTTGACGTGCTTATTTATACAAATGACTTATAAATTTCTCAAAGCCATTTACAAAAGCATCAGGCAATATCATGGTCTCTGCAGATGTGGAAAGGAGCTGGTAAGAGCTGACTTTGTTGCACAGTGCCTGAGTAGGAGACTCCAGGGCTAGTGCCAGTCCAGTACTTTAAAAACTTTTGATCTTAATTTGTAAAAGGCCTTCCCAGGATTTGAGTATGTTGAGAAAAACAGAAATTCTCTAGTTTGAGAAGAATATATCCAGTTTATTTTGGGGGGGGGGCTACGTGAGCAAAGTAATTTTCTAGAAAAAAACTAATAATTGAAAAGCCCAGTGGAAATAAAGTCCACATAGGATATGTGAAATTATTTTAAACCCCCCATACAATTAAGATTTACATTATAACCATAGCTGTTCCTCTGAAAAAAATTAATTCTCAAACATCAGAGTTTACAAATCTTTGAGAAAAATTCTAGAAGCAAACAACCAAATTCCTAGTCTACTACTAGTCAAACTTCTCCTGCCGAATCTTCCCTTTACACCCTGTGTAAACCTGTTTCATAAGTTTTGGGGAGTGGTCTTGGTTCCAGAGTTGGAGTTTTGTTTTGCTTTCAGTGTTTCGTGCGAGGTTGTAATGCAGGGGGGTTTGTCTATTTGGACCGAGCCAGATTCTCAGTGAAACTCTCTCCACACTATATATGTGATGAAGTTCCTTAAGACACTCACCCAACTGCTCTTCTGAGATTTGTTTCAGGTTGCAAAATTACTTGCTATATGTAACAGGGCTCTTCATCCTGGAACTGGTCAAGCAACTCAACAGGACAAACTGCAAATCTATCAGTGGTGGGTTGAGATCCAGTCTGAGTCATCAACCCCAAATCAACATACTGGTAGTGGGGCAAAGATGTAGCAGATAAGCTGCTAAACTAATCTGGAGACATGTGACTGACAGTTAATTACTTTATACTATAAAAGTCCAGTCCACTTTCATACGATCAGATTCTTCTAACATATTCTTCCTGGAGTGTGTGAAGAGTCTCCCTTGTAGTGGGGATGCCCCTTCAAGGATACTCCTCAAGGTTAAAAAACAGATCTGTCCACAAGTGTTGGTATGATGACTTACATCAAATCTCTACTTAATAATTATCTCTTTTGCTAGTTTTAATATAATTGCTTTGATATAATTGCTTTAAGATAGTGCATTATACTATAGACTACTAGTAGTTCTTAGCTTTTATATTGTGTAGTAAATAGTTCTGATTAAGATCTTTTTTTTAATAATTTGTAATAATAAATAATTCATTCTATATAAATATTCCCAGTTTGCCATCTTTAACCCTGTGGGACTAAGTTGTACTTAAAATTTTGTGGACAAAGTCTAGGCCTAAGATTGGATGCAGCCACACCTAGACTCCTCTCTGAGAAGGAGTTTAGAAAGCAAGGGTATCCTTTCTGCGCCTTGTGACTCAACAGGAGGGCTTCTCCAATAAACTTGGTCTAAAGCCCCACTCCCACCCATAACACCATGTGAAATGTGTGCCAGCTGTTTTCGCTCCACGTCATTCGTGCTCTCATCCGTTTGCTTCTGACAGTTGAATGTTTCAGCACCCCAGCTGCTGCAATTGCTCATGGAGTTGCTTAGACAGAGGTTAGGGTGCTGTGTAGGAACCCAGCGAGCTCTGACATAGCTGTATGGATTTATAGACTGTGGATCTGTGAGTGCTCTGGCAGAGACCTAGGACCTACCGCTATCACCATCCAAAAGCACTGAGGGGAAATACTAATTTGTGACTCAGCACATCCAAGTTTGTGGCTTGACCTGCCTCGCGGGTACCCAAGGCTGAATGTCCCTTTGGGAAATCACCACATGGCTGGCTTGGAAACCAGCAGCCCTGCAGCACTGGCAGAGACAGCACAGCATTAACAGCTTCTTTCTCAGAGATTAGGGGCACTGAAGATCACTTGATCTGAACTCCTGGGACTTCAAGACTGTAATTAGCCTGATTTGCTACCTTAACCTTCCTCCCTGCATACTCCCAGCTAGTGAGCCTAATTAAACCTCCTGAACATGGGAAGTTTCAGACTGGGCTGCAATGCCTACTGCAGCTTCCCTGTACCTATCAAGCCCTAGAAACACTGGGGTAAGAGAAGACACATATGGGAAGATCCAATCCTCCTCTCATCTCAGCAGGGCTGGCAGCAGATTGTCCCCCCTCCAGCTCATCTAAACATGATAGAATGGAGATGAAAAGCGCAGCAGGAATGAGACCTACAAGGAAGCAACACAACTGCCAAAATGTGCAGTACTGAGATTGGAGGGGATCCTTTAGTTGTATTTTGCTTGATATCCACTTGTTCAAAACAGGACATGTTCTGTCCATTTTCTGCAAGTGCGTGGTCAAATGAACAGAGGAAGGCAGTGACTGTTGTAACCATCTGCTGCTATGGGCCTATATGGCTCATCCATCTGCAACAGGTTAGGTGTCACTGTCCTACATAAAAGGCACAGGAAAAACCCATCTGACAAGCAGTTTTCCATACTCTTTCCAGTACTGCTTAGTAAAAATAATTACAGGAGAAGCATAAGACCTGAAACGAAGCAGCACTTCACTCCCTTCTCCTAGATACTTTCCCCTTTGGGATCTTGACTTAAAGCCCAAAGCAGCACAGGGCAGACATTGCTTTAGGGCGATTCTAGTATTGTAATAGCACTAACTGCTTGGAAATGAATAGCATATGCCTGTCTGGATCAGGCTGGCCAAACAGCTTTGAACATTGGACTACATGACCCTTGACACAAGACAGGTTGATTTATTACACTGTTAGCCCTCCTGACAACAGGCACTGTGGGCTTGGCACTGCCTGGTCATTTTTCAAGCTCTTTGCACATTACTGGCACCTATATCCTCTAACATATTACATCAGACAGCTCAGCTACAGAATACTAAAAGCTCCTCTCTCCTGCATCACTCCCTTCCTCTCTTTTTTCTCAGGTAGTGGATGAATACGTGAATCAAATGCAAAATAGGAGGGTAGTATTTGTATCAGCAGAAAGAATAAATATGTATGATGTAGGTAAAGTCAAAAGGATGGAATAAAGGGTGTTACGATATTAATGCGTTTGCAATGATTCTTACTAAGTGATGTCCAATTACCCATAAACATGTTTACTGATCCAGAAAAAACATTCTTATAAAAAGTTCTACCTTTTGTCTGCCAGGGAATAATCCAAGCCAGGGAACAATCCTAGAACAGAATTCAGAATAGAAGAGTTAAAATATCCTCTAAATTTCAAAGGGTTAAAAACTGCTACTGTTCTGTAACAGTACAGGACTATATTTCTTCAATGTCCACAGCCAGAAGCATCAAGTTTGTAGACCCTAAGGACAATAAGGCTTACCTCTA